AGATTAGATCTAAATAACATAAACTGTGGGCCAGCTCTAACAGTGTTATCCAAGCATATCAACAGTAAATTGGCAAGCAGTTGTGAGTGTGTGCATTGCCACAATATGGTTGTAACGCTGAAACCTTTATAACGAAGACGCAAATTTGTCAATGCATGAAATTATCGCTATTTAGCAAACATTCATATTGATAATATTTTAAACACTTATGACAAAAATGATTTGTCTTGTCACTAAATAATGTTTTAGGTCATATTTCCCTGATGTACATCACACCATCCAAACTACATCAGGGATTATAGATGGCTGACACACCCATTCACACTACATCATGGATTATAGATGGCTGACACACCCATTCACACTACATCAGGGATTATAAATGGCTGTCACACCCATTCACACTACATCATGGATATTAGATGGCTGAAACACCCATTCACACTACATCAGGGATTATAAATGGCTGTCACACCTATTCACACTACATCAGGGATTATAAATGGCTGTCACACCCATTCACACTACATCAGGGATTATAGGTGGCTGACATACCCATCCACACTACAACAGATATTATAGATGGCTGGCACACCCATTCACACTACATCAGATATTATAGATGGCTGGCGCACCCAATCACACTACATCAGGGATTATAAATGGCTGGCACACCTATTCACACTACATCAGGGATTATAGGTGGCTGACATACCCATCCACACTACATCAGGGATTATAGGTGGCTGACATACCCATCCACACTACAACAGATATTATAGATGGCTGGCACACCCATTTACACTACATCAGATATTATAGATGGCTGGCGCACCCAATCACACTACATCAGGAATAGTAGATGGCTGACACACCCATTCACATTACATCATGGATTATAGGTGGCTGACATACCCATCCACACTACAACAGATATTATAGATGGCTGGCACACCCATTCACACTACATCAGATATTATAGATGGCTGGCGCACCCATCCACACTACAACAGATATTATAGATGGCTGGCACACCCATTCACACTACATCAGATATTATAGATGGCTGGCGCACCCAATCACACTACATCAGGGATTATAAATGGCTGGCACACCTATTCACACTACATCAGGGATTATAGGTGGCTGACATACCCATCCACACTACATCAGGGATTATAGGTGGCTGACATACCCATCCACACTACAACAGATATTATAGATGGCTGGCACACCCATTTACACTACATCAGATATTATAGATGGCTGGCGCACCCAATCACACTACATCACGAATAGTAGATGGCTGACACACCCATTCACATTACATCATGGATTATAGTGGCTGACATACCCATCCACACTACATCAGGATTATAGGTGGCTGACATACCCATCCATACTAC